TTCCTGAGAGGGGATTGGGGTTCCCTGAGGCCCAAAGGTGGGGCCCTGATCCATAACCCCACATGACTCCAACTTTGGAGTTCTCCCATAGGTGTCTTTTAGCCATCCCACAACTTTGTAGGGCTTCCCCACATCCCAGCAGATCTCCCCAGTGCCCGTGGGGTATGTAAGAAACGCTCTCATCACTGCTGTTCCATCAGGCACAGCTCTCGGTGCAGCAGCAAAGCTCATTTCCTATTGCCCTGATGATTTCCAGCAGCACACAGCTGACACACAGAGCCATGCTGACCACAGCAGGGTGCGGCTTCTTGTTGCAGAGTTTTGTAGCAGTGGGTGACCGTGCAAAAGGAGAATCCCACCGCTGATGTTTTCCATCCTTCTCCTTCTGCACCATGATGCATTCCTTCCTCCCCATGCTGCGCTGCCATCAGAGTTCTTTGTCCATTTCTCAGGGCTGTTGCAGCAACTTCTCCAAATCCTGATGTTGGAACAGTTTTTTTTACCACTGTCCCTACTGCTGCAACAGCCCCAGCCTGGGATGCCTTTTTGTGAGGAGTTCTGTTGTTCATTCTGCAGCTGACTTGGATTTCTTCTCCCACTGTCCCCATAAAGGAGTTGATTTGCTTCAGTCCATCCCAGCTCCATTTCTGGTTCAAGCATCCCTCATTGCCTCGCAACACTGCAGCAGCCAAGCTCCAGTCCCTTCCCCAATCTCAGTGGGATCTGTTTGTTCTGTTCTTGTTCAAGAGAACTGTTAGAGAAACAGAAGCTTCCTGCCTACCAAACCTTGTGACAGCTATTTCCCTACAGAAACATTCCTGTCCTTCTTCTGGCCCCTTTGGCCAGTTCCCAACTCTTCAAACAGAGATGTACAGCTGCAGCCCACGCCATGGCTTCTCTGGGGCAGCCCCACCCCGAGGAGGAGATGCCTTTTTCCCCACACACAGCTGGTTCTAAGGCCACTTGGGGTGAGGACACAGGGTCGTGAGTCACGTGGGGATCCTGTGGGATTACAGTTATGGGGTGACGTTGGATCAGATGACATTGCACAGAGTTATGGGGTCAGATGGGGATCTGGGTCACAGTGATGGGGTCAGATGGGATGGTAGGGTCAGATGGGGCATCATGGAGTTACGGGTCTCATAGTGTTATATGTTTGGGGTGAGGTGGGGGCAGGGATTCTAGAGTTCTGGGGCCACGTGGGGCTACAGTGTGATGGGGGCAGGCAGAGTCAGGGAGTCACAGGGTCACGTGTGGGTATGGTTCACACAGGGCTGTGGGTCACATGCAGCCATGGGGTCACACAGACTCCCACAGTCCCTGAAAGGACCCCCATCACCGTTCCAGGACCCCCATAGCTCTGGTGCTGAACCCGGCATCCTCATTGAGCTGTGCTGCAGTGCTGCACCCTGAGCCCTTCTGCAGTGCTGCAGAACGGGACACTGGCAGATCCCAGGGCAGTGGGCACTGCTTTACGTGTCACCGTCCGGCCCAGGAACACCACCCCTGTGCTGTCTGTGAATGTCTTTTCTTTGCTCCTGGCACATCTTCCAACTCCAGAGCACAGAGGAGTGTCCCTCAGACTGCAGCTCTGGGTTAACCCCGCAGTGTCCAAACGAGGAACCCTGCAGCAACCCACATCTCAGGATGGGGCTGCAGCTGTGCCCCAGTGCCTTCATTAAAGAGAGGGGAATGAAGGAGCGTAACGGGGCTTCTTTCCTCCTGACATTTCCCACCGTCTGCATGTTGGCTGTGCCATGCAAGCAGATTTGGTCATAGAGCTGTGAGTGCAGGTATGTGTGCATACGGGGTGTGCAGAGATGCTGCTGAACATCAGAGTGTGCGTTGCATGTAACTGTGTGCAAGGCTGGAGCTGTGCTTGTGTCTTCATGCATGTGGGTGTGCAAAGCGAAGAGGTGTGT